AGACTATAATGTATAAGATATAATTTAATAAGACTACTATAATGTATAAGATTCCAAAATTATATTATTTTTCTGACTTTTTCACACAATTTATGTTTCTGCAATAAACATAAAAAATATACAAAGCCCAAAGGAAAAAAAAAACAAAACTTTATGCTTCAATTAAATACGTTAAAGTTATTCAAAGTGTAAAAGCAAAAATTTCTTTGAAGATAAGCTGACTACAGCTACAAACTATCACAACTGCAAACTGAAATAAAATGTGGAATAAGGTGCTTTTAAAATAAGCCTCCAGTTCTGGTCCTTAGTTGCATTTTGAGTAGGCCTGTAGTATAGAACATCATGATTATAATGTGACTAAACAAATGACATATCAATAAATAAAATATTCCTTTAGATTTGACCAGGATAATCTTTGCTTTTCTTATCTTGGCTGTGGTCAGATGATTTAAAATAAGAAAACACTGTCTCTTGTCGGACTTCTTTCTACATCTAAGATTGCTAACCATTAACTTGTTCTAGATTTAATGATAAACTACATCCTGCAGCAAAACCTCTGATTTGGAGGTGTCCAGGGTATGATAATAAAATACATCCAGCAGCAAGGTCTCTGATGGGGAGGTGTCCTAGGTATGATGATAAACTACATCGGGCAGCAACACTTCTGATCTGGAGATTGAAGGTTTTTAAGAGCAGTGTACCACCTCTTAATTGCTGTTGTTTCCAGGTAGCACCTGTTAGGGTCCCAGCTATGGGCAAATAGTAAACCCCCAAACAAAAACCAACAGTACATTTTTATAATAAAATGATCAACTGTACATTTTTTATAGCCAAATGACAATCAATGCAACACTAAAAAATATAAAAATACATTTTTATAGTAAAATTACCAACAATACATTTTATGATCTACATATATATATATATATATATATATATATATATATATATATATATATGTATATTTATATATAAACATACCTTTACTCTGAAAGCATAAAATTATGTACAAAATATTTAGATTTCAGCATTAAATAACGCATAAAGGTGTTGATATGTCACTAAACAAAATCAACTAACCAACCATTATCAAACTGAACTTACAGGAGAAAAAATCTCATTAATGTTATGAACTTATAAAAATCATTTTCTAATTTAAAAAGAAAATTTCATTTGGTTCATTTATTCATTATGAATTGAGAAAATTGTAAGAAAAGAAATTGCTTAACTATTGAAGATTAAAATCTTACACGTTTGGCATTTGTTTTGGGTTTTTTTTATTAATAATTCATGATGTATTTTCATGCATTTTAGATAGATCAAGTCTGGCTAAAACCCGATAATGGAGGCAAAAGATTAGAAAAGGAAAACAAAGTGGTTTCATGTTATCAAAACAAGGCATGATTAACAGTCATCTATATTTCTGAGATAAGGTTTGTAACTATTTACATTGTTTGGACTGTTGGGTTCGGTTCGAAATTTTAAATATCACCTGAAGAAGGTCAAAACATGCATTTGGTAGTAAAGCTGAGAACAACTTTCTGAACAATGTAAATAGTGTAAAAAAAAGGTATGATTAATATTAGTTTTTTGTAGATTTCATCTTTGATATTAATGTCAGACATGTTGAGTTCAAACTAAAAATCAGTCCAGAAATTTTTTTTTTCATATTTGCTTTTAAATGTTAAAACTGTATAAACTAAATGGATCAGTTTTAATCAATCATTTGGTTTGATCATCGATGATTGCTAGGCCTGATGGAATGTTCTCAGACTTCCAGATCAAAATCTACATTTCTGAACCACTTCAGTACCTTAAGCTATGGCACCATCTCCATAAATGGTGTATATCATTTTTGCTGTTTGTTGCTGTTCTTTCCTTTCTCAGGAAAGTATAGAATGATGAAAATGCATCTAATTTTCTTTCACTTTTAACATAAAAAAAAACATTTAAAATTCACAATATATACACAAATCATACAAAAAGATTTAAATATTGAAATGTCATCTTTCTTGGCCTTTCATTTTCCTCTGGCACGAAACAGAGCGGCTATATCAAATCAATAGGTGCATTGAGTGCAAGGAAAGTTTGGTCACTGTGTCATGCAATAAAATTTTTCTCGCCAGAATCCATTTTGCACATTTACAAATCACTTGTCTTTGTACTGAATACTGTTGCCATTTCTTGTCTGGTGGTCCGGCTGTACATCTCTAGATTCTTGACAAAATCCAAAGAAGAATCTTGAATGTAATCAATCCTCAATCACTTTCTCATTGACTCTGTGGCTTCCCTCTGTCTTTTCTATAAATAGTTTTATAGCAACTCTTCTGATAAGCTTATTTTTCTGGTGCTCCGAATACATAAATTTAAACACATTACTAGATTAGCAATGAGGTAACACCCTTTTACAGTTGAAATAGCTAAATGCAACTGCCAATTCTACTCCAACAGTTTCTTTTCTCGCACTTCAAACCTGTGGAACTTTCTTCCATTTCACTGCTTCCCTGATAACTACAAACTTAAAAAAATTGAAGTAGGTTGTCATCTTCTGTCTTTGTGAATCCTGTTCATCTTTTTTCCATTCCTCAATCCTCCCTATTCTCAGTCTTCTCTTTCACTTTCACTCCCTGTAACCCCCTGTATACTAGTGGCACTGCCTTACCTGGAGTGAAATGATTAAGAAAATATGTATATATGTTATAAATTTCAGTCAGAGAGGGACAGAAATCACATGTTCCAATGTCACCTATTGATAAATGCTACAAACTTTTGTTTCACTATATAATGAAAATAGAAATCTCTCTGAGTTTCTAACAGTTCAACAGAAAAATGTGTATAACTGAATATAAGTCTAAGTGAATGCTGCATTTTTCTCACTACTTGATAAACATAAATGAAGATTAAAAATAATCAAAGATGAAAATAGTTTGAAAAACTGATTCAGAAGGAAATTTAATAAATCTTTTTCTACAATCTCCAAAATAGACAAAGTTATACAAATATTTTTCATTAAATTTTAATGGCAGCCAAAACTTAAGCAATTTCCTGTTTTCACTCTAAAATGCAACTTTGTTTTACCAACTGCAAAACAAGAAATAACAGGTATGAAATTCTAAGATAAATTATTCAGATGCATCCCCATCTTTGCTTTTTTTTGTTAAATAACCAAAGAACACATCAGTTGCAATAATGTGAGGAGGATGTTAGTCAGAATAATTCATGGAATAAATAAATGATACTTATGAGGGAAAATGAATCCATTTTAATGGAAATTAACACAAATTGTATTAGAATATTTGGATAGAAAATTTGACTGATTTTATAAACTAGTTTTATTTTCAAAATTGTTTAATTTTTTTCTTGTGGTCATGACATTCTTTTGTACAATGTTATGAGTTAAATATTGCAGAAAAACTGAAATAATTCATGGTTCAAATCTATTAAATTCTAACTTGTAAAGGGTCAAGATTTCATTTTGATTCTCAAATAAACTACATGTAGCCATAAATTCTATGCTAACAGTTTCTTTTCTCACACTTCTCACTTGTGAAACCTCCTTCCACCTCCATGCTTTCCAGTCAACTTTAATCTGCAAAAATTTAAATGCAATGTCAATTGTTATCTACTGTCCTCCTGATTACATTTTTCTATCCTGGCTAATTATTAAGGTTTCTGTTCCTAATTCTTCCACACCCCTTATGTGTTAGTGGCTTTATTGCCTTGGCTTGGGTGAAACTGATTAAAAACAAAAAAGAAAAGAATTATTATACACTTACAAAGATAAGGCAATATTTACAGTTTTTTTTAGGTAGGCTTAGAATTTGTTAATTTCTTGAAAATTCAGATGTACGTGTTGTCTCTCCTTGAATTTGAAACACCATAAATTATACTAACATTGGTTTATAAAGTCAAATGTATATGAAACATGACTGACTAAGGAAAATCAAATGAGACAAAAGTAAAAATACCAGAATTTATTTCTTCTTTTTTACCATGTCTCATTCTCTGATGAAGCTTAAATAAAAGTGAAACATTTTAGATTGATAAATATTTTCTATTTGTTTTTTATCTTATTCTGTCAGATTCTGATCTATATTTCACTGTCTAAATATGGGCCCCTTTCTACATTTTCATTGATAGAATTACTTTCTTGGAAGAAAAAAAAAATCATTCATTAGTTGGTGAAACTAGTTGCATTGAATGAAATGTTTCTGGGTTCAAATATAAAAAGATTTAGATTTTTAAGATTTTTTGTTCTTAGTTGGAAATTGTAAAAATTTGTAAACACCTGAAAATCATGCCTTGTTTTTTTATATCTAGAAACCATGATGAAGGGATGAATAAAAAAAAAATGAAGTAATGATGGCGTAAAACTCAATAAATATTTTATTTAAATTTATATGGCATTGAAAATCAAACCAATAAAATGCAAATGTCTTCATATCTGGGAGAAAGATTACGCACAGGTAGGATTTGCATTCTCAGCCATTCCTGCACAATCAGCAATAATCACAGTTTCTTCTCAGCAGACATTTTGGTTTTCAGCTATTTTTTTTTTTTTTGTCTGTCTCTGTTTAATTCCAGACACAACACAATCCACCCAGATTCTATTAAATATTGGGTATTTACACAGTATTAGGAAAAGAAATATCTATATTTTTCATCTGAAATAACTTGGGAAAACATCAAGAAAAAAAAAAAAAAAAAAACTCAATAAAAAGGAAAAAATAACATTTGGAGCTGATTAGTTATCCATTCATTCGTCTCAGCTTGGGAAGGTCCATTGTCGGACGTCAGATTCATGGTGCGGAATGGCTCATTACCCTACTGCACTGACCCACTGCATGTTGGTAGGGGTGGATGTGACAAGTTTGGGCAATCATGATTGCCTATAGGTATTTACACATAAGTGAATGTAATGAACCTGACTGAAATTCAAACTTAGTTCTCCAATTTCTCATTCTGAGCTGTCACCCATTACACCACCTGCACATCCAAACTTACAGCCCCTGACATTTCCATGTGGTCACTCATCTAGGTACTGACCAGACTTGACATTGCTTAACTTCAGTGATCAGATAAGAACTGTTGTTTCAACATGATATGGCTGTAAGCTTTCAGTTATTAAAGAATGCCTATGGATGAAAATATATAAATAAATGTATAACTCCTGTCAAGATTGACAATGATTGTAACAGCTTTTTTAGTATTACAGATGCCTGAATTTTTGTTCAAGTGGTTACTCACCGCACTCTCTTTTACATATTTATTATTGTGACATGCCAGTAACAAAATATTTTTTCATGATATTAATGATGGGATCGAGTGATGAGGGAAGAATTCAATTCATGTCTTTTGTAGATATTTTAGTGTAAAGTGGATAGGAACTGTCTCAGCTAGAACCCAAATGTGGACCCAATTACATTTCCTGCTCATCCAGAATCCAAAATTTGAATCAATTCCATTTTTTCCTGATTCAGAATCCAAAATTTGGATCCAATTCCATTTTCTGATTCAATAAGAATTGAGCTATCTCAGGTCTCCATATATAAATAAAAAGTGATTTTTCAAGAGAAATCCTATCAAAGAATAATAGTTAAAGAATTTTTTTAAAAATAGAGGAAAATTTTAAAATGAGATCTTAACATTGCAGAAAATGAGATTGGATTAGATATTTTGAGGTGACTTAAAACTTTGATGCACAAAGATAATTTCTAAGTTTGCATTAAAGAAAAAATTCTGTCTGGATTTCTGCAATTTCTACACTGTTTACATTTTGGATTAATATCCGCACCTTTATTGTTACAATCACGTTTTGACCATTATGCCCTTGGACTTCAACAGCTGTCTGTTGATCCAGGTAACTTTCAGAGAATGTTCAAACTGAATCGTTTATTCAATCTACACATTTTTCTTATTTTTGTTGCTCATGTCAAGAGGTATCCTTTCTTTTTTTTTTTTTTTTTTAATTAGCACTTCTCAGTTATTTCTTGTTCTATTTCCAGACATTAATCAATTGGATTAAAGCATTGGTTTATGAATTTGATGACACAGTAATTGTGAGTTCAAACCCCGGGCCAGGTAGCACAGATTTAGACTGATCAGTACTAAATATGAACAAGACATATCCTTAGACATTTTTTTTTTATATATAATGACATTCTCCCTGTACAAGGCTCAAGAGGGTTACTGAATAAGAGGCAGAGTTTTTGGAGACATGTGAGGAAGAGAGCAGCTAATCACAGACTTGAACAGGTTAGTAGTATATTTACACTATCTATATTTTTCGAACTGTTGTCCTCATCTTTATTGTCATATTCACAACGTTTCAGTTGTTTTACACTTCAGGTGATATACATTGAAATTTTAAACTAAACCCTTTATTTAGCCCACAGGGGTAGGTCGTTCTACTTCCACATGCCAAACCTCTTCTGGATATCTTAGTTTCAGTTATTATTAAATCAGCTCTCCAAGTTTGTTGTTTATGTCTGCTGTGGCCAGGTATTGAACTCACAATTGTTTGAGTCAAGTCACTGGATTAATTCAACCATCACTTTTATCCAGCAAGATATCCAAAAAAGGCATTACATGTGGAACTATAACAATATACCCCCACAGACAAAAAAAAGGGTTCAGTTCAAAATTCCAACGTATATCATCTGAAGAAGGCTGGAGCATACAATGGCTAAAATGTTGTGAATATGACAAAGACAAGGACAACAGTCTGAACAATGTAAATAGTGTAAATAATTATAATACCTCATTGCAGAAATATAGACAGAGGTTAGTAGTGATCAGAGAATAATCCTCTTAGGAGTCGGTTCCACAAAGCAGCAGTCCATAGGAAGAATCCACCTGAGTGGAACTTACATCTCACCAGTGGAATATAAAAGAAATGAGGGTAGTTCGCTATAATGTACTTAGCATGGCAAGCCCTAGTTGTAAAGGTTAGAATTGGTAGAAATAAGGAATTTAGTTTGTCTGAACACTTCCATGGAAAAAACGAGAGCAGTGAGGGGTTTGCGACATTTTGTCTGTAAGAAAGGGATTGGAAAGATGGAAAATAATTTGTCACCCACAAGGATGTGGAGGTACTTTTGGATTCTATTGATAGTGGAAAAATGAGAACTGAGCAGCTCCTCAGGAGAAGTCAGGTACTTATTGGAGTGGTACAGGGAAAATCGACAACAGAATGAGAACAATGGACCCTACCACCTAAATTAAATAAAGGATTTACTTCAAAATTTGCTGATGGTTACCTAAAATGACAGAAGCCTAATGAAGGCCAGAGGGTGCAACAACCAAAATAAGAAAGACAAAGATATCTGTCTGAATGTAAATAATGGAAATAACTTTTTTCTTTTTTCAAGAATATATATTCTAACATTCAACTCACACCTCATTTGAAATCAGGAACTTGAAATTTTTGATCACAAAAAAAAAATGAACAAGTTTTCTAAAATCATTCAAATTTTTAGATTAAATTAAAAGAAAATTCTATGAACCTTTAAAGGTGAAGAGATTTACTACATTGTCTTAGAAACACTGAAAAAGGCAATAAAGAAAATAAGAAAGCTTATTCTAGAATAAGAGAATAATTATTCTGGCATGATTGTTAATAAATGCTTCTAATTTAGAAACAATTATATTAAGTATTTGAATATATTGGCATAAAGGTTTCTCAAGTTTAGAGATTATAAAGAATATTTATTCCAGAATACATTTTTTTTACTGGATTTTTGATTGTAAAAAAATATGAATAAAAAATACATGAATGATAATATTAGATAAAAAAAAATAAAAAAATAAACTAATAAATAAATAAAAATAAATAAATAAAATAATAAACATAAATAAATCAAATGATAAATAAAAATAAAAAATATTGGATAAAAAATAGAAAATACATAAATTTTGTTAACAAAGAAACTATATATCTAACTTTTGCTAACGTTTATTAACTGATTCATATCGATGAAGGGGCTGAATAATGGATTAGCTGAAGAGTTGTTTTAACAGCAGCATATGTTATTTTTCTCAAAAGTTGCGGACAACATATTTGAATGTTATTTTTAAACATAACACTAGGAATTAGAAAATACTTTTGAATAGATTCTATTTAATTTAGACTGACTGAAATGATATTTCCAATTTTAAAGATATTCAAGAATACCAAAATACACAAACTATTATTCAAACAATTGTTTCTTCTTCTGAAGAAAAAAAAAAAAACTTCAAAATTAAAAGACATTCTCACCCATGATTAAAATTCTTTTTTTGATGAAATACAAAAAGAAATATTTCAGAATCAAAGAATACAAGTTCTTCTTGCTTTCAATTCAGAGGTAAAAATCAGAAACAAAATAAAACTTAAATACTCCAGAATAAAAGAACACATCTTCTAACATTCAAATAATTCTTGTTTCAGAAAGAAAAAAAAGGATTTTAAAAAAACTTAAATATTCCAGAATAAAAGAATACATTATCTGACATTCACTAATACTTGCTTTGTAAACTGGGATATCACCATGCAAAACCAAAATTGTTGCCATGACAACAAAAATGAACAAACAAACCTAACCAATCAGTGCTCAACATTAGTACAAAATATTTAAATAGTTTAGTATAAAGTAAGATAATGAATACAAGCTTACCAATTGTATATTTGTATTAGTAACCAAACTTAATATTAACATATTTGTGACCTAAACTCATTGGAGCCATGAATTTTCAAAGTATTAATATTGTCTTATCATGAATTATCTATCAGGGAAATATAGATATTGTTCTTTTTTTTTTAAATTTTTTTTTTAAGGTTTTATTTTTAGAAAGCAAAAAGAAATATTGATTGATTGGATTTTTATGGCTTATCAATTTTTTTGTTAGGATGTTATGTTTAAACATATTTTGGATTCAGATTGTAAGAATAAATCTTTTGTCTATTTTTGTGAGTGAATATTGTCCTATATTCTTTTTTCTACAGATAACAATGGTTTTTCCAGATACAATTCTTACTATTTAAACCATAACCGGGGGAAAACAGGTGGATTCATACCTTCCCCAAGGGTATTTGTGCATAATTGGAATTGCAAAAAGAAAAAAAATTTTCAAAAAGTTGTTCGTGGTTACATAAGAAAAACAAAATTTTCAAAGTTTTATCAGGAACTATTGAGTTAATCAAGTAAGAAAATTTAATTTCAAGACTGAAACAACTTACAGAAAAAAAAAGGGATAATTATCTTTGTTAGAATTGGTAAAATAGATTCTTTTACACTGACTATTAGGGCATGTTGATTTTGGAACTACGGTATTCCACTCAATTTGAAAGTTGGGGTTTGACATGGTAAATAATGACATAAAATATTCTTTTCCAAAACGTTATATCACAACCTTATCAAATTTATAAATTATTGAAGCTTTACAAATTGTTTATAGACAAGATGCAAGATACAAGGATATTATTACTAAATCATTGTGCCATCAAATAAGACCATTTACTTCAAAGGGAATTTCTTCTGAACAATTTAGCTATATTATGATGTAATATGTTATACAGTGCAGTAGTTTTAGTGTGATTTTCAATAAATGCAAATTTGAAGTACTTTGACTTATAATTTGTGCCCAGCAGTATTAAGGTGTTATATACACTTTTATCTATTTTTTGGTTTTATTAATTATGACCTAACTAATGATTTCACAAATCTTATTCATTGAGTAGCCTTTTTTGCAATTTCTTACAATTTTTTTTACAGAGTAAAAAATTGTATATTTTGCTTGTGGTGATTCATAATTAGAATTCTGGTTTAAATATATTTTCCATTCAATGTATCTAATATAAAAATATCAACTTTATTTGGATTTATTCTTGAAATAGTAAAACTCTGAAGTCAGTTTGCAAGCAAAACTGATCTTTAAAACTAAATACTTAAAAAATGGTAAAAGCTATGAATCTAATTTTTAGTGTCAGTATTTATGACATCAAACCCCAGTTTCCACACAGAGCGCAATGTTAGTTTTCTAAAAAAAAGGGAAAAGAATCTACCTGCCCTACTGACTATTAGTTAACCATATTTTTCACTGTACAAGACAAATGCTAAAAACACAACTGGCTGT